GTCGTCCTCCTGCTCACCTCCGTCACGCCATGGGCCTCGCATACGGCGTCCTTCAGCTCCGTCACGCCCCCCTAGTGAGAACCCAAATCCACCGCCACCATGACCGGGAAACCCTAAGTCATCGTCGCGAAAGCCAAAGCCAGGAAATCTGGTCTGCTTGTGGGACCCGTCAACAAAAGGATTGTCCGCTGTCAAAGTGTCGTCGGAATCATCACCGGTAGGCGGTGGTAGTGGCGATCGGCGGCGGGGCGCCCCAACAAAACCCCGACCTCCTCGACCACCGCGATGTCCCTCGCGAGTGCCCCGGTCAGCCACATCGTGATTTCGACGCATCTCGTCCATCATGGTGCGCATTGTCAGTCGTAGTTCCGAAGCCCATCGAAAGATCCACAAATCGTTAATCAAAGCTGTTGAATCGCTCATCAATTCTCTGAAATCGTTCATCAACGGAGTTGTCGATCACAGCTTTGTCCTTCTTCGGCGGCATCGTGGATCGTCGGCTGGTCAGCTGATACCAACTTATGTAGAGGATGTATACGAAAGGGAAAAACACAAGCTCAAGAGAGAACAGATATTTTTATTTTTACGATAATCAATTTTCTGCTTTCTGTTCCCAGTACATAAATAAGGAGTTTCCACTAACTCCGCTTCCTAAAAATATGATAACTCTTAATAATTAAATAAACACCCCTTAACTAATAAAAATAACATAAGTGCAACTACTAATAGAAATAATCCAAAAGGGAAATAAAGCAATAAAATAAATGTGCTAGACACGCAAACGGTCATATTTACGCAAAAACATCAACACGGCCTCGTCTCCATCACAGCTGCTCAGAGATAGCTCCCCTCCCTTTGAAGTATTGCACCATTCGCCCGACAACAGTAGAGGGGATTCGATTCCCGTTTTTTACGATGTGACGTAAAAGATTGAACTAGATCGGTTTGGTCGTGATCGGCATTTCACTGTAAGCGTACGATTTTTGTAGATCCCAAATGGTTTGGCCTCTTCACAGGGAGATGTTTTATTTGAGAACTCAAACGGTGTGCCATGATCGACTTTTCACCATGATTTTTGTAAATCTCAAACCGCTTGGCCTCGTTCGGCGTTTCATCGTGAGATGTTTTATTTGCAAAGAGAGAGAAGGTTGTCTTTGCTTCTAGAGAATTGAGGGATCTCTTCAAGGACAGTCAATTTTGGGTCCTTTATGGTAATAAGCGCCTGGGGCGGAGAGTATATTCGATATCTTGAACACTTTGTTTGTGGGTTCACGACCGATGTCGATGCGGGCTTCTCCATTGTCGATCGTTCGAGCTCCCAGCAAAACTTTTGAGGTCATCTTTAAAGGAGAGATCGCCATGAATTGTTACAGGATTTTATCTTTGATCACTTTTTTACAAGATAAAAGTACTTAACCAAACATGCTAAGAATATATCGTTGAGATATCCACGAAAATTCATAAAGTAATTTTATTCTGGTGAGAAACATGAACATACAGCTAAACATGTCTATTTCTATCCATTTTTTGATTTACTTTTATATTACTTGTTGACGGATGTTTCCGGTCAACGGTTAATTAATTTTCAAATGAAATTATTTAATAGAAGACAAAACGGAGAAAGATGAAATCCCTATTTGCTTATGGGTCAGCTCGGCTTTCGGCCGTTGTGGTCGGCCTTTTACTGAAATTACAAGGGGGATATTATCTTTTAGAGAGAGAAATATATGATTGTTACAGCCTTAAAGATGAATTTTATCTGCCCTTTTTAAGATGACATAAATGAGCTATTTATACTACTCTCCACTAAACACTGTTGGGACACTGTTCATGCCGTCCCGCAGTACAGTGGGAGGGAATGACAGGCTGTGTCAGACATTAAATGCAGTCAGAATTTTGGCCATGATGACCCCTGCAGCATTAAATGCCAGCATGGGGTGCATTAAATGCTGTCAAGTCTAGGCATAGACTTTCCTCTTCAGATTAACCAGTCTGTACGAAACGTCCCATCGGCGCATTTTCGTCCCACGTCTCCTACCAACTCGCTGACCGGCCTTCACCAACGATCCCCTCCTACTCGACCTCGGGTCCATTCGTCGGCTAACACTTGGCCCCGCTCGGCCTTCTCCTTTGCGGGGTCATTCACGGAAGTCCACGTCATTCCTACTCGGCACCTTGGCCGGCTTTTGGGACTCGTACTCGTCCACTTGATTATCTGACCCCATTTCCTCTATTTCGATGATTCGACTCGGGGCCGAGTTGGTTCATGTCCTCGGCTGGTCTGTCCCCACCCCCTCCTAATTAGGCGGGTAATTGAGAGTCAACTTGGGTATCAACATTACTAAAGAAATGGTTGAGGCCCCGAGAAGGAGATCTATGTTCATTTTTTGGATATTCCTCGGGCCTCTCTTTACTATCGTCGATGTCCGCTTTTCGACATGTGATCCTTTGTTGATCCTTTCTTCGTAGGTTGATACTGTGATTGTACGCCGATCTATCTTTTACGCAACATCTTTGCACAGATCGGGCTCTATTTACGTCGACCAGGCTTTTCTACCCTAGCTCCGATGGTGGTCGCCGATTGCTTGTTCAGCCCCCGCCTCCGCCCAACGGCGGGAGGCCATCGAGATGCCGGTGCTCTGCCCGCGTGCTTCACCTTTTCCCCTTGTAGGAGTGTCGGCTTGCGACTTGGTGTCCAATGGTCCAGGCTGTCCGCCGGTTTGACCGGATCGGGCCGCTTGGCCGTGTGGTAAGGTGCCTCCTTGGGTCTTTGCTTTGAGGCCTCCGGATTTATATTGGCGGCTTCCCCATCTTCCTGCAGTACCGAGCTACTTCGGGTCCAAATCTGGAATGATAATTCGTTTAGGCGGTTTGAGTGTCTGCAGATTTCGAGTTTGGAGTCAAGATCTGTTATTCTTTGGGGTTTGGTATTGTGGGTGCGTCTCGATTGTCAGTTTAGGTGGTTGTGTGGTTTGTTTATTCGGGTAGGAGAGGTTTTACT